GATTTTAATACAAGAGTCAGTGACACGTTTTTCTCATACCCAGCATAACCTGATTAAGCAATTCAGACGGAAAACCTTTTTGCCTGCTTTGTTCACCATTCGCATAATGAGCAGAACAATTACGCACTAAGACAATTTTTATCGATTTCTCACACAATCTCGTTATTTTTCATGGAGAAATTTGTGAAATAATGCATTGTTTTAAACATGCGTTTTTTTTCTTGATTCTCTTTCTAGTTTTCTTTCATATTCTCTTTTATATTTTATTTCTAGTAATTATCTTTATTCACTAATCTACACAATTATTATCATTTACGCGTGCATTGTGCAAGGCTTACACTTTTACCAGATAATTGACTATTTTACATCTTCTTTTGCCATTTTGCTGATAGTAGTTATTGTTAACATTTTCTCAATTTTTCTTTCGTTATTTTATCATCTTTCCTTCATTCTCAGTCTTAAATCGATTACACATCACCGCCTTTTGATTTTAATCCAAACGATCAATTGAACACAATCTGAAACTAGGAAATTATAAATACGTTTACAATTATAAATACCTTAAATATTAAAGATAGCAAACCTCACATATATACTCTTGAAAGCCTCTGTGATTGCCAGTGTTGGATTGGAGTTGACGCGAAACCAGGATGCAAACCACACCTCAAAAATTATTTTCTTCTTCGTCGCCTTTTCTCTTTTGAATGCTGAATTGTTGTTTAATAGAATGCTCACATTGCACATATGAAACAGAGACTAGCATTGTTGAATGTTGTCTAAGAGTAGATCCTTATAGGGGCAACCGGTGAAGTATAAGGTTCTAATTCAGTTTTTGAATTTCAAGATGAATAATGAATACAATCACCATTTTTCATTTCTCTATTCACACTTTAAATTTACATGCTGATAAGTTATTGTTGATAGTACAATCAGTTTAATGAACCACATAACTAAAATGATCATTAAGATTCTATTGAATAAATCGCGTAGTAGAATTCAATTGGAAATATGACAAAAAAGTATTTGGCTTCGTTCAGGACATATTATAATCAAAATGCAATCAGAGGGAACAATAAAAATGCAGAAATACCAATACTTATATAGAAAAAGAAAAGCATATAAAGTACAATAAAAAGACCTACTTGAAATACTAGAAAGCATTGAATTATATAGAAAATATATTCGAATAACACATAAGAGCCTGTTTTGTAGGTAGAGAACATTTTCAGATAACAGATAAAAATAGAAAAAAGAGGTAAGCCAAGGATGTATTTTTTCATTAGATTTATTTAATCTATATAGCGAATCGTAAGAGGTTCTAAGAGATCATCTGAGGATTTATTATCAGCAGATATAATCTTGCCGATATAGCATACTCTAATGACACCGTGTTAATGTCAAATTCCGAAAAAGAATTTAGAATCACTTAGATAAGATAGTAATGGAAAATAAGAAGAAAGGCTGTAATAGCTGTAATAGCACAAAATGCATGAGCGTCAGTGTCAGTGTTTGAGACAGTACAATCTGTTAGCTTTGTATTGGAGTAATCAAAATCAAGTAGTTACTGAAATTTATCTTTGTTTTGTCGTAACAAACAACAGAATATGTTACAAAAAATCCAAAGGCAAATAGGAATCGGAAGAAATATTTTTCAGAAACTAATAAAAGTATTAAACCATAGGAAAATATTGCTATAAACAAAGAAAGAAGCGCTGAACTGATATATAATCATTTCTCCTATATAACCAGTGAATACTGGACAATTTCCTGTGCGATGAAAATGAGACTTCATGCGAAAGTATATCATGGGAAGAAGAACATGTGAGCAGCGAGGACGTCTTAATGAAAATAAGGGCAAAAATTATATTTACAATCGATAAGTGGCAACTTAGAATGAGAAAAGAGAACGTAGAGAATTTAACACGTATTAAAGTTATGAAGGCATGAGATACAAGAGAAACAACATGAAATATGTATGTGAATGAATGGTAGAACAAGGAAAAAGAGGAATAGTAAAAGGTCAAGTTACAACCAAAACAGGATATTATGGAGAACCGTGATGGCCCATGTTCTGGAGTGATATGTAACACATATAATTAGACTTTCAAATGGAACCGATCTGTGCTGGTTTAAAATAAAAATTTATGGCCTTAAGTGATATTTACGACGTTGCCAAGAGAAAGTCATTTTTTTAAAAATCCTAGTTATAGTATGTCACTTGGCCTTATGCAGTAATATTAACACACTTTACCTATGCATATACAAATACTAGATTTTCTTATTTGATAAACAACTCGTATCGGGTGACCATAACGAAGGATAGCGAACACAGAAGGCGTTTTTATATAAAGAAAATGTCTAATAAAGAAATTCACAAACGACTTAAAGGTAGACAAATATAAGATCATATTGTCATTAAAGAAATAAACAATCTAATGAATGGTTAAACAATATATGCTCCTTCCAAAAATTATATATATATATATATATATATATATATATATGATGATGATGATAGACTCTTCCGTCGTTTTCGACGTATGAGTGTCTTTCATCTTTCAGTTCAGTTTTTATTTTTATGTTTCGTATGAGACCACAATCCTGCACGGGATTTGCAAACAAATCCGCACGAAGGGCATATATATATATATATATATATATATATATATATATATAGGTCGACATATTATATTCTTAATTTAGCGCATTGTTTGTTTTTGATTTTATCAACGGCACAATATAGTAGGGTCATTTGGGCATCGTCAGTGAGAAAAAGAGCATCATGACGCAAATTACTCTGCCAGAAATATGGAAACGGCATGCTGTACTGCTTAGCATTCGTGCCAGAAGCTCCAATACGAATATTTCAGAGTGTTTGGGTGCCAATCTGAGGACAATGCAAAGGCTTCGGAAACAGTTGGATGAGTCAAATGGTGATTACGAAAGTGTTTGCTACCCTGTTTCAAGGAAGTGACTGCTGGAAGATCCTAACTGTGGGAACAGTACTCTGCACCATGTCACAAAAGCAAGAGAACTCAGTCATGGCTGTCAGACAATTTCTGTGACCACATCACCCCTTACATCTGGCAACCTAACTCCCCAGAATAAAACCGCCTTGATTAATTATGTATTGGACCCAGTTGTGCGAGAGACCAATAAAACTCCTTGTAGCACCAAAGATGTAATGATCGCAAGTATTATAGCAGCATTCACCAATTTAAACAACGAGACCGCCGAGTAGAGTTGCAGGAGATTCCGTGTCGTCTGGAAGCCATGGTTGAAGCAAATACTCGTTCCAAGTGTATTAGATTCGTCCCGAGTGATAGCCGTTCCTTGTTTTCATGGCTGATATTATGTCCCTTCCCATAATACCTTGTGAGATTAGTTTTGTTCTTACATTGCTCATAACATAAGGTAAAAATCAATTCCTCCTGTGGGCAGCAACATTTATATTCAACTAGAAGTAAAGCCCGGCCTTGCCCGGGAGTAAACTTTCTCTGAATGGTAGCTCATAACCGCCATACTCATTTTGTACACGCATGTAAAGCTGAAGCCTAGTAGAACTGATGGCTGCCCACATAAAAAAAACGTAATGTACACAAGTTGTCGGTATTCATCAGCACAACAAAAGAAGAAATTGTTAGGCTTAAAAGGAAGCAATGGACAGCCATGGTAGCATCAGCTGTTTGCCATTACTAAGACATCTCCAATTAAAAGTTGTCAAGTTCAATAGAGACATGGGCGTTAGGAAGTTTTTAGTGAGTTGTGGCAGATGGCTTTGTATTCCGATGAGATTGTTTTATTATCCCTGAGTGCAAGACATTACATGAAGCCCCGTGTCAGTTGCAACGTAGTAAAACGCAGTAGCGTGAAAGGTAGACGCGTCTTTTGCCCCAAAGACGACGCTGCCACTACCGCAAACAGAACCACATAACAGAAGTATGGGAAGGTGTCGGGGCGATTACTTGTAAGTGGCACAAATTTTTTGTAGTTTTTAATAACCAGTTGAGGCGAGCATGAAGCGACTTAGCGTTACCTAAAGCAGCCCTTATGGTAAGGGGAAAAACACACCAACGGTGTATGGCAGTGAATATATATTATAACTCTCCAGGCTGCTATTCTTTTATTATCCCACTTCTTTTTGCTGAGGTCTGAATTGCGTGGATGCACTCGACTTCTCTGACCATTAAACGAATCCATCTTCCCACGTATTGGTTTTGTGTTGCAACTGAATATAGTTACGTGGTCGACTTGTAAGTGCGAATGCAGCTATGGTGGGGTTTAAGTGATAAGGGAGTATCTGGTAAGCAAGACAACGTTTAATGAAATGTCTTAGTAATGGCAAGTGGATACTACGACGACCTTTAAATAAACCGGTTTCAAAAATGAAGGAACCTACGATGCAACTGACATAAAGATGTGTACATTGCATTTAACGTGACTGACCATGGGCTATAGGACTTCTGCGTAGGTAATATTTTTAGCTTTGTTTGTTGGAGAATAAACGTAAACGTTATCCTTACTCCCGACTCGGAAGCAGCCTACGTAAAAGCTGTTCATGGGCGAAACACTGTTCACTAAATGCAGACCCGCGATTCTGAGCGTCTGTCTTTGCGATTTGGCCATTGTTGTTTAGCCGTGATCGCCGTACCCCAGGGCATTCTGAAGCTCTGGCAGACGCAGTAGATCTGTAATTCCTCAAAAGGACGATTAGTGGTCTGCACAGAACTTTCTAAAGCTCTGGCAGACGCAGTAGCGCTGGCATTTCTTAAATGACGAAAAGCGGTTTGATGAGGTTGCTCCGAAACCCTGGAAGTATTCCTAAAACGACGCGAAGTGGTTTTACTAAGGGCTTTCTAAAGCTCTAGAACATGCTGTAGCGCTGGCATTCCTTAAACACTGAAGGATTGTCTGTGTTGCGGACTCTGAAGCCCTGGCCCTAGAAACGCGTATTGCGTCCTGTGAATTCTGTTCTATACTAAACGCTCTTCACTTGAAAGTCTAACGCGTCGTGATGACATAACTGATGCTACTGATGCCAGCCTTTCAGTCCGTTCAATGGTACTTTCTGTGGAAATGCGGGCAGCAGAGCGTGATGCCATCTGGGAAAGGCGTACCGAAGTTTGCTCTGTGGTTTCACTTACCCTTGCTGATCTTGTAGAGGAGGCAGCAGCCGTGCGCCGTCCAAAAAGTTTTCTCTTGGGCGGCATTTTAACCAATTTTAAAAAGACAAACGTAATAAAACGTATGTAGGTTTTTTTGAGTGTAAAAATACGCGTAGTCTAAACGCAGGCAAAATGTATGTAACTGTATCAAAAGGGGATCAAAGACAAAAAAGTGAAGTTTACAAAATTCAGCTAAAGCTAAAACGGTAGTAGGTAATTTGGGAAGTAAATTCGATAAACGCGGTAACGGATGTAACTAAGAAGTAAAAAAAAACAGTTTGGATACTTAATCAACAACTTGCGGATTCAGTAATGTGACACTATTTAGCTATGGTAATTGGCTAACTAATTAACCATAGAAAATTAAAAAAACACGGAAGACTTAAGGCGAAAAAGAGATATCACGAAAAATACTGATCGACGTTAAAATAAAAATTTTATTCTATTTATGAATAAGATACTTTTCACAAAAGACAGTAAACCCGTGGAAAAAGCCATGTGTGAGGTCTTGCCAGGTTGATTTATGTCTCGCCGAGGGAGATAGAAAGAAAGGCAAATATGAAGATTTCGACCAAACCACAAGCCGGTCATAAAAATTTCGGCTTGAGACGATTGCAGATACAGGACAGGGAGAATCAATGTTAATTATCTTTACAATATTTTTTTCTTGGATACAGGCTTTGTCTCGACATAGGTGAGATTTTTTTTTATAATTTACCTTATCAACGTGTCGATTCAACGCTGAGACGTTGAATAGCAATATTGTGTACGAAAACGTTTGGCATGAGAACAAAACAGAGTGGAGAATTGAGATTTGGCGAGATAAAAGAATTTAATTTCTTAACAAGCCAAGGATTCCATTATAAAGCTAACTTAACGAAAAGACCAGATGGCAAACTTTGACAGTGATTAATGGGTCGATAGAGAGTACTGGCTAAGTGAATTCTGGGTGGCAAAAAGATATGATAGAAATTTAATTTGCAACATGGAATTCGTAAAAATGTTGGTCGATGTGAAAAAGGAGAATTTTGTAAACAAAAATTCTGGATTATAATTTTAAGGAGGCCAGCTTAGCCACACACACACGGCCGAGATATCATTGGTTTGGTGGTAGCATGGGTGATAGGCGGAGGTGAATGGAGAAAGGCGGAGAAGTTATTAACGCCCACTGAAGGGATTGGTATGAGATATCAATGTGAGAGAGAAAGAGTCTAGAAGGATAACTGTCCTCCGACCTTCCTTCACGGACGACGGAGAACCCCCGAAATGGAAAGTGATTAATTTTCCAAAAATGAGATGTAATCAATTTTCCTGGCTTAACAACAAAGAGATTTCTTGTTAGAAATCGAGATTTACCGAGAACCCCAGGCCGCGTCTGGCCCCACACTGGGTTTCGGTCGGTACCCATATAAACGAACGTCCTGTGGTCGTTTGGCAGTCGGATTTGAGTTGGCGAGTTACAGTTGAGCTGGTTTGGGAGTCAGGGCTAACCAGAGTGCTGCCTCGCAGAAGTTGGCCGAGAGATTCCTCAACCCTCGACTTCGCCTATCCTACCAATAGCAAGTTATACTGACGATCGAAGCCAAGCCAACACCTAAGAACTAAATTAGTTGACTTACGATGCCAAATTGCTTGAAACATAGAAGTGTCACATTTCGTAGGAGACGGACTGGGCGAAAAAACACACTCCTTTATATAACAGAAGGATAAAGTTAATTCGTTATTTCTAAACATACTTGAACCTCTTAGGTTTTTCTTTTATTTATTTATTTTTTTCCTTTGCGCTTGTGCGATACCACCTTCAGTCCGGACTCAGCCTACACTACGGCCCGACGCCTGATTGATCTCATCTACCTAAGATCAAAGTCACAAAGTGGGTAGGTTAAACTTGAGATCGAAGCAGTTACTCCAGTAACCAGACATTGCAGGTGAGCTGGGAATGATAGAGCTGGTATTAAACCGGTGCGCCTGGTGAAGCCATTAACATCGATGACCAGAATTCGACCCTGGATGGGCCAGTGTCCGATATTGGTATCCTGACCAGAGGATTTTTCCGTGTAGTGGTGACCACCGATCGACCGAGACACAGGTTGGTGGCAGCGACAGAGAGTCAACACCAAGAGGCCGGTAGAAGAAACATTACAGTTTCGTGCCGCGACTGGGAGTTGACCACGGGCCAACGGCTGGGTATCATAGTAAGAACCGAATTAAGTGAGCCAAGTGCGGGACAGTAATCGCAGAAGTGTGAACACGCTTGTGAGTTATGGTATAAAGAGGCAGTTGGCCGGTTGACCTTGAGTGCACATACTAAGGAGATGTACGTACGCACGTGCACACGCGTGCGTAAGAGAACTGCTCGCGCGTATGATTGGATGGGCCCAAGGTTAAACGCCTGCAACCGTGCCAATGAGCTCGCAGCAACTTTGAACAGTTGACGCGATTGGTTAACCTCCAGCTGGGTTAGTCCAAGCAGTGCACAGTAGCGGATGACGTTTCAGAATAGTATCTGGCGACTTTATTCTATCTGTTTTTTTTATAGATAAATATGAAAGCTATGTAGTTCCTTATCCCAAAATAGGCATTGCCTTTTTTATTTACGTCGTCACCAATGTAGCGCAGTCTCTCAAAGTCAGCCAATCAGAAAATGGGATTTTCTAGCTTCATTTTTCTTTGAAAAGTTTTAGCAGCCAGGAGATATGAGGTCCTTTTATTGATCAAAAGTTGAAAATACAAGCGTTTTTACACTTCTTACGAACAGAATTTGAAGTAATGTTAGTTTTGTTTACTGATGGATGATGAAGGCATTTAAATAGCACGAATTTAGATGAAAACTTGCAAGAACTTTCTTGGGCAGCGAAGCGCAGTAGTAAAATTATAGTGAGTAGATGCCTTTTGCTACATGTAAACGGCATGAAAAGACATAACAGTCCCCCGGTGTCCCCTCGAATGAAAAAATACAATCAAATGTGAAAAATTGGACAAATTGGACAATTGTGGAGAGTCGATTCTGTCCACTTGGCTTAAAAGTGGTGGCGTGAAGTGCTCACTGAATTCAATCCTTTTCAATGCTTTAGTAGACTAAATGGGCTACAAACACCTAAAAAGCAGCAATTTCACCTTGTCTTTACTGATGTTTCTGGCAAAATTTGACATGTAGCTCTGTAAATCCCTTTTACAATGGCCTTGATGTTTACTTTACTGTGAAAATGCAAAAATCATGGAAAGTAATGCATGCCTGCATTGAAACATTAAAAGATCCTTTTTAAAAACAATGATATGAGCGTTAAATCCTAAAATAAAAGTAGGCTACCTGAAATCTCTACCCCATTTGAGATGCTTGATACGCGCACGCGTGACACCCCCCGTTCACACATGATCTCACATGACCCCGGAGCGTAAATAGGCCAATCAGAAGCAATCATTACGCATCACGCGAGCTACGCGTGACTAATAACACTAATCCGATTGGCTTTTGGAGCGCAAAGTTTGGCTGCGACAGAAATCCTTCATTGTGATAACTTTTGCATCCGAAACCAAAATATGGCCATTCTTGTCCTTTCTTATTCCCATATAAGCACTTAAATCCTTTTTTTTTCTAATGATGCTACCGCTATTAATTCTGACATGAAAAGTGACCATATCTGCTTGTGTGCAGTGAACATACATAATTACACATGCGTGTGTCCTATCAAAAATGAAAATTATTTCAACATAAAAAAACTGCGTGTTTAAAAAGGGTTCTCGTTATTTACTTTTTGCTCACATCTTCAAGCAAAAATTGCTTTAGAACTGTATTCTAAACTCAATGCCTTAGTTGAAAAAAATAGCAAGTCGCCATCTTTGACTTTCGACCAATATATTGCCAACGTAATGGTTGTTTTTTGCAATTTTATTTAAGTGCAATGTCCGATTACACCTCCTTTCAGAAACATCAGATTTTGCTTCCAACTTCACATCGTGAGCCAAATTTTGCACCAAAACATGGCCGAGAAAATGTCTTATCCGTTTTTAGACGCTACCTTTCCGTCAATGCTGTACTAAATGCCATTCAACAAAGTCGAAAATTGAATTTCCAAACTTGGCAACGTATTCTTAGATTGCTGCCAAAATTCGAAAGGAAGATGTGGCGGGCGTTATGCCAAGGATTAATTTCGTCAGCCGTCTTCTTCTTTGGCCTTGCTTTCGCGAAGAGACATGTCATTAGCAAATTCAAATGAATTTCGCACTTCTGCCATTATACAAATGGGTTTGTTCAAATGGTCTACTAGAGTTTCTGTAAATCTCTTGATGGTTAATTCAATGAATTTGCGTATCAATGGTATTATTATTTGAACTTGTCGACTTTTCACACTCGAAGTGATCTTTGATAGAGATAAAGCGGCAGCAAATTCCTCCATACTCCAATATTCCTAAGTATTTTGATTTTAGTAAAACTGTCTTCTATCAAAGTTACTTTCTTCTACAGGTTTCTTATATTCTCTTCACAAACCTTTATGTACTTTATCAAACAAGCTAATAATAATCGACGCAACAGTAAGTGTCACGTAACACAATTTGTAATCAATATTTTCAATTTCTTATTTGAGTCAGCAATATGCTGGAAAAGTCACATGTATTTGATAATCTTTCTCTTGTCATAATAACTTCAGGCTTTCATTGGAATCTGATCCACATATACAGAAAACATATCAAACAAAGAGTAAGTATTTGAAATTGAATTAGCTTATTGGTACAGTAATCCAAGGATCTAAAGGAATATTTTCTTAAATTTGTTTTTCGCAATCATAATCACTGGAAAATTCAGGAACTGGCGAGCATAATCTATTGACTCCCCACGCAATGAAATTACTCCTTCCATAGGAAAAGGAAAATGATGTTCTTTTTTTATTCTGTTGATATCTGATTATCAGTTTATTTACAGATTATTAACCTGCATTTAAACTACTAGTTCTATTTTATATCAACACGTGTATTGTCTCGATGGAGTTTGATTCCTCGCTGATCTTTATATTGATTTACACGTTGC